TTAATTACAGTTAAGTATGTATAAAATGTCTCTGAATTATGAATATCGCGGGCTATTCATCTGTCGTAGGGGACTAACACTTACGGAAACTCAAACAAATGGGCTGATTGGATGCAGTATCACAAGAATGAGTATCAAGATCGTAGGCACCATCATAACCACCATTAGGCCACTCAGTCAGCAGGAATATTTCTTTCACTATATTTACATGATTAGTTCTCAATGAAAAATCTTTAAAATTGTTATCCAAAAAGTATAAGTAAACGTGTACAATACTAATCGATTATTTCCAATAAAATATATTTGGCAGAAGATAAAAGAGAAACGACAATATTACAGAATCATTTAAAATTATCTGCGATACATAATATTGAGATATCATTTACAAAAAACGAATCTAAAATGCTGGATTTATTTGTATCGTTTGTTCTTCATTAATCGCAATACACTGTACTTTTTCTATGTATATGTACTGAAGGATATGAAAGATGAATGCTCTTTCTGTGATAGTATCTAATCTATTTTCTATTTAATCATATTCTAATAATAGCAGTAATACACTTGACGTGCCCATCAGTCACGCAGACAGACCGCGACACACGGACGCAATCCTGCATCAAGTGCGTTGCTTTGTTCGTCAATCAGCAATGCATTGCACGCAGGGTAGCGTTAGTGTGTTAGGAAGCATCAGTTTGATTACGCGACATAGCGTTCTAGAGAAGAAGTATACATTATTATCTAACATTAATATCAAATCGAAGAAATGGAGAGAGTTTCTTCGGTACGAAAAATGTTATTTATAATACTCGCTAGATATACCTGATTTCATTTTTACCCTTGTTACACTTTCATACAAAATTGTGGAATATTGGCAGTATCGTGGTAAGTATAGACTTGTACGTTGCCCATTTCATATCTTAACGGTTCGAATCGCTAGAGATACAAATCTATATTCGTAAGTAACGAGCAACTTTCAGATTCATCGCAAAAGCAAAATGTTCTTACGACTTTGGTACTTTGCTATTGATTGTACTATACTCCATTAAAAGTGAGTCACTATCATCTGCCTTTTGTGACTCTAGTGATAAGATATTCCATTTGTTGATCAATACGGAATACCATGTAAAACGATGCTAGTATACTACCCAACGTTACCAGGAATCCTAATCCTTCGAATATTAATTTTGGCGCGAATATCTTCCAAACCATTAAATGCCGACAGTGTATAGTCGCTGCGAGCATGCTGCCGAAAGTCTGGAAAATAAATAATTAATGAATGATACACATATCTGAATGCACACATTTCTTTTAAACTATTTTAGAGAAAAGCAAAATAATCTAAATTTTAATGTCTTATACATATTTTAATAACAGCAACATACTCGAATTCCGTGAAGCAATGTGTACTTCCCCGCAATCGCAAAAATTGCAGCGTGAAAAGCAGAATCTTGTTCGAACAGGAGAAGTTCACCTCTCTTTATATCATCGAAAAACTTTGCTTTGAGAAATTTTGGAAATATCCGATGCAATGTAAATGGCACGACCACTAATAATGGTAATGTTGCACCTAGTAAAATATGCGATCCAAACGTATTAATACCTGAAAAAAGAACATTTTATTAAAAAACTTTAGTCAATAAAAATTTCAATGAAGCCGTAATAATATTCACCGATTAGAATTGCTGACACTAAATTTCCGTAAAAGTGACCACCAGTTCCTACAAAGGCAGCATGCCAGTGAATGGTAGGAAACGTTGCTTGATGACCAGTTCCATAAAAAAAATATTCAGCTAGTAAGAACCAGCAAAGTAATACAGGCATCGATACGTCAACTAATTCAGCTGTATAAAATAAAAATAAAGTATTAGAAAAAAATTAAGGATCTAAATATATACTGATAATTTTAGTGTGTATACTTACAAATATTATTAGCATTTTTGTATCTCTCTATCGCGGATAAACCCAATATACAACCACATGTTGTAAACATCAAAAATGTACCAGGCGACAGGGTATCTCCTAATAATAATGCGTACAAAAGTGTGAGGAATACGCTTAACGAGATAAATGCAGCGCTGTAGGCTGTCCCGAAACCATAAATGACCGGAAGTTCATCGGTATCTATTCGTTTGCGGGAAATGGAGTCTTTTATCTTTTCGAATAATCGAGGCACTATATTTTCATCACGGTAGACGTCGATGGATTCCTTCTTCTTTGGCAGCAAATATATACTAAGCGGACGATAGTAGAGAACGAGAATCGCGAGGACGCAGAAAAAGTAAACCACATTAGGTAGCGTATTGATCTCCCAGGATAGTGCGAGTTTCGGCTTGACAAACTTCGGAAGCTTTTGCAAAATCCAATAGCAACCCATGCAAACGCTTACAATTACCGGACAATACTGCCCTACTATGACGCTGGGAGCAAAGCCTGTGAGATTTCCACAACTTTGCAACCATAATCTAACTATCACTACATATGATGCCAGGATGACTGAAGCGAGTAAAACGGCGAGTAGAGCACGCTCCCAGTTATTTGGCATTGTGGACCAACCAACTTTTCCAGTTGCAAATATAGAACATTCCCGTTGTAGATGTTCTTCTCTACAGCGCCAGAAATAATGCGATAGTCTCACCGAGGCGCATGCTAGTAAGCCGATAATTAGTACAATTGTTCTGAAATTTGATTTTATTGGTTTTGAAGTGAATCTTGTCCTTCTCTCGGTAGTACTATCAGAATCGTTCTTTCTCAGGTCAAATATTAGCAGGCATACAAGTGTAACAAACAGGAAAGATAAGACTTTGTCTTCTTCGACTATGTAACTGTTAGAGAAAAGTCCACATACCGTTAGAAGAAGTATTATTCTAGCTACATAGGTCAACAGCTTCATTCGACGATGATCATACCAACACATCGATATGACATCCCAATTTTGAGCGATTACTATAACTAATAAACCAATAGAAACTGCGCCAGTGACAAAAAAAATTGTATTCCTCAATTCCTCTAAAATATTTAACAAAAACAAACACGTGGTAATTGCCGCGGTAACTAAATTTGCTATGATGGCACATTGCAAAAATGAAGATTTAAATATATCACACATACGACTTTCAGGGATACCAGTGATGAACAGATAAAAGAAAAATAAGGAACAAAACATCAAAAGTAAACCCTTGGAAATTAATCCAGAATCAAATTGGACCCATACTTCGGAACATGTGTCCTTCAATAATTTAAAATAACCTTTGGTATCCCGAATAAATGCTTCTAACTTTTCAAAACTATCAACTTGCTTAACTCGCTCAGAGAGAAGACTATATATATAATGTAAATGCTGCAGCTGCTCTTTTGAAAACAAGTATGTATCTGCAGAATATATCTCTATGTATTTTTTCGTTTGGGCAATGTTCCTCCATAGAGAATGTAATGGATACAATAATTGACCAGCAGCTACCTCCTCTATCTTACTTGGCAAACAATCAAGGATTACAGATCCTAAATTAGAAAAGGGAATCGGTGTGCCGAGGATCGACGCCAGAGTAGGAACAAGATCAATTTGATTTACACTATTGCCATCATTAATCACAAATCCTTTCAACAGCGGAATCGTTGAATAAACAAACATTGCAGCCTCGACTTCGTTGGAGCTATCACCACCATGATCTCCAGTCTCAGTCATACCATGATCGCCAACAACAAAGAGTATCATGTCCTTTTCAAAAGATGCTATAATCTCTTTTATAAGCGTATTTGTGTCATTCAATTTCCTCGTCATTTCTGGATGTTGCATGCCATGCTTATGTCCACAATGATCAATCCCGAGAGTGTGTGCTATCAGTAGCGACCAGTCTTTCTTTTTCAGCTCGAAGAAGATACGATACTGAACATCTTTATCTACGCTGTCCAGATCCCAGACATTGAATGATGGTGATGGAAACTGCCGTATGAATTTATCCGGAAATAAATTGATCCATGTGTCGTCCCCCATAAAAACAATGCCTCCAGCGACATTTTGGTCAATGAGATTGTCTTCCTGAATGTATTCCGAAGCAAAGTTCGATCCCACCTCTATAAAAGTAGGTAAGGAGCCTGTTGTGAGACCTTTTAGGCGTTGCATGGTTGTGGTAGGTGGATCGGCCATGAATCTGTACAGACGAGAGTGCGAAGGATATTTCTGCAATAGTTCGTGGATCACAGGTAATTTGTTGCGATGATAAGAAGACGCAGCAGCATTGTCCTCATACCACTCCGCAAATTCGTATTTCAACGCATCGACGATCAAGAGTACGACCCGCGCTCTGCGTTCCAGACATACTTTGGCGGCATGTTCCGTGTTCTGGAGAACGTCCGTCGCGTCGCAATCATCCGCCGTCGTGCACTGCGTACAATCGGCCCGTTCTGGTCGGGAGACGCGATTTAGGAGGAAACCGCTGGTGAAGACCAGCAGGCCGGCCGCCATCAGATAAGACATCCATGCCTGGAATACCAAATAATTCCATAGCCGGCTCATCTTCGTCGAGTCAGTGTTCCTCTCGGATATCGTTCACTGGCGGCACAACGTCGAGAGAACTCCGGTGAAAACTTAACCTACGGAACGCCGGTCCGTTCTCCACCATTGTTGCATCTAAAGACGCGCAATCCGCCGCGATATTGTTTTGGTCACGCTAAATATGAAAAACGTCTAATCGATAATTCACGTGTCGCGGTTCGAACGGAACCTAACCTCAAACCATTTCTCACTACGTGGAGTAGACCATATCCGTTCTCATTGATGCGTCACTCGCTATTTGCGGCATCACTTGGACAGCGAATCTTCGAGTCGGTTTGCGAGGATCGACTAAAAAGACTACGGAGATCTCTCATTTCTCTCGTCTATCTCGTATCCTGTTTCGTCTCTCGCCTCCATTAACCTCCATAGTTTACACTCCGGTATTTCCGGCGCAAACAGCAATCGCGGGATTCACGCATGCGTAAAAATACTCACTCCCCCAACAGCTCCTAACTCCCACACACAATTGCTTCAGGCCATGGCTGACAAATCCGATTGTTTCTTACACCGCGATTTGAAGCCCCCGAAAGTTTGAAATAGTGTCAGAAAGAGGTTTCGATTAGCTTCGATATTCGTAGCAATACAATAACGAAGAAGTGAGTTTCTCAAGTTATTCTCAAGCGTTTGACTGTGTTCCCACGACGCGTGCACTTTCGATTGTCGTTGATGTGTGGAACGAACGCGTCTGTTTCCTAACCTCGACCAGACGATCGTACGAGCATTCTGTTTACTAAAGCTTTATTATACTAAGAAGAAAGGACATTTTTTTTTCCAGAGTAGTTTATTGGCGATTTTATCTATCGTCATTAACAGTACATATACATATTTTGTGGCATATCGTTATTCGCGCATGAGATCTCTTTTATTTATAAATATTATTTATTAGGAGTCACCATGACAGGTGGAAATACCGCTGAAAAATCAGCTAATAATCCTTTGGAGCAGTTCGTGCTGCTTGCAAAAACTGCGAAAGGCGCCGCCGCCATAGAGTTAATAAGGCAAGCCGTCGAAACGCCTGGCGTTCATGTTTTTGGCGAATTATTGGATATGCCAAACATCAAAGAATTAGAGAACGGTCCTTATGTCCAATATTGGAATACTTTGAATCTATTTGCGTATGGCACCTATAAAGATTATCTGGAGAATAAAGAGAAAGTATTAGAGTTAACTCCTACGCAAAAAAAGAAGCTTCAGCATCTCACAATTGTCACTCTAGCCACGAAAAACAAATGTATACCCTACTCGGTATTATTGGAAGAGTTAGACATAAAGAATGTTAGAGATCTGGAGGACTTGATTATTGAAGCAATATATGCCGATATAATCCATGGAAAGTTAGATCAGAAAAATTCACAGTTAGAAGTAGATTATGCTGGTTTAGGACGAGATGTTCGGCCAGGTGATACCGGTGTAGTAGCAGAGACATTAGCTGCCTGGGGTGAAGCGTGCGATACAGTTCTATCTTGTATCGAACAGCAAATATCTAGAGCTAATGTCGAGAAACAAAAGGCTACTTATCATAAAGAAAGAATACAGAGAGATGTGAGTTACATTTCTTTATTTTATTTTTTTTAAATAGTTTTACATTAGAAAATTAATTTCATCCATAATGAATGTTTTTTTTTCTTGTTGCTAGATTACTAATATAAAGAAATCCCTCGCCGCTCAAGCAGGAGGTGGAGGCATTCAAGAAGCTGATATTGCTGGTGGTAGTTCTGGTGCAGGAGGAAGCGAAGCGGGTAGAGAAGCCATGCCAGTACTCTCAGAAAAGAAGAAGTTACAGAAAGTCAAATGTATCAAAGTCAGTGGTAAGTTTTGGAAGACATAAACTTAGTCTTTTCTTGCGCAATGCATATTTTTCTCATTGTTCATCCGTTCATTGAGTCGGATATTATACTTCGAATTTGTTACAAATCGTGGCTAAACTGCGGCTATTAAAATTGAATTGGAACGTATGTATGGAAAAAGTATCGAACTCTTGTGTCAACTTTTTTTTTAGATTGTGAAATGAATGATGAATGAAAAGATTATGAATGAGAAGTTCAACATTGAAACGAATTTATTAATTATATATAAAGTATAACCCAAATGCTGAATCGAGAATCCTTTATGTATCTGAATATTGAGTTTGTAGACACTTTTAAAACAAAGTAGGAAAATAATATTTTATACAACGTGTTCTAAATATATAGCATCGAATTGTATATGTCAAATATGTATGAGATCTTGATTTAGTGACACATTTATGGACTCAATGTTATAATAACAAATAAAATTAAGAGTACTTTTCTTATCAAAATACATTTGTAAGATTGATTTATTGACACACATCAGTATAAGAAGTCTTTTAGAAAAACCGAATATAACATTTGAATAAAAATTTTCACTTTAATAACTGCAAATGTTTAGCGGAAAATGTAGAAAGATCAATAGATTTCATACTTTTACTGTGATCATTTTAAATATCATGACTAGTATTTACTGTATAAAGGATTTCAGTACTGTTAGCATAAAATTTAGCATTTATTTACGGAATCGATTATTTATTTATTTACATTAAACACAAAGTAATAATATGTATGAGGTATACGTAACGTGTGATGATTGTCTTTACATCGAGCATTTGAAAAAAAAAAAATACAATGAATCTTTTCTTTGTGACAAAGATAATTTTGTAGGTAAGCTTGAATATTCTTGTAATATATCCCTGTTTATTTTTTTTAGACCAAAGACATCATGTTTTGTGTTTGTAGGGCGTGAAGAATTTAATTAGGATTTGACGATTCTCTAGATGAATTTGATAAATAATGCAACGTGTATTGCATATTTATCAATGCATACGTGCCTACCCATTGCCAGTTATCACATAAAACGGTATGCCCATTGTGACGAGTTGGCTTACGTGTACTTCCAACAATAGTACCGTTCGTACTGTTTGCGTTCAGACTTTACAGATTCTCATTTTGTAAGGATTTGTAGTCGCTAAACGATTTACTGACGGAATGCGTAACTAGTCCGAGAGGTCGTTTGAAGAAAATTGTATATTCAAAAAATTGTAAAGGTATGCCACTGATGTAGCTTAGCAAAAAAAAATGTCAGTCGTCCGTTAAAGCGTTGTAATTGCTATTCGAATAAAAAGATAATATATTTTAGCGAGGCTTTTTCTATTTTTTTATTACCCTTGATGCTCTCTCTTTCCTTCACGTTTATAACGTAAGTTACTAAAAAACATGTTAGGTTAGGCTTTAAAAATTACTATAAATGGTAGGTGTGCAATATTGTAGGTCGACATAAAACTATATTGCTGTTTTAAGGGTAGAAGGTATCTGTGTTTTTATATATTTAATGAAAAATTTCTGTATTTACATCTATGTTTTCAATTTTTCTCGATTCGTATCGTAAATGCATTTTCTGTATTTTTTTTTGTTTTAAATGTAATTACGAATTGTGAAAGAGAATAAATTATGTAAGTGATGTCAATTATTCAAATGAAGTTTTAGAAG